TCCTGTCCTATATAAGGACATTTTAGCAAGCGTTTTATGGCACTTGCAACACAATAAGGTCATATAAGTTAGTGCCGAAGATTAGAGGTGTTACAAGAGAGTAACAAACACAAAAACGAAGGAGCAGAGATAAGGACGATAGGTGTTTGATAGGAAAGAAGAAGCAAACCACACCAGAGCACCCGCTAACCACACAGATGATTGATCTCATCAACCCTAAGATATCGCGTGTAGCAGACAGTAGTAATTAAGTAATAAGTATAAGGAGCCACAGGAAGCAGCAGTTACGATGGTTGCATTAGTAGAAAGATTCAAAAGTAAAGGAGAGAGGATCCCAGTTAGTAGAGTCAAAAGTAAAGGAGAGAGGATCCCAGTTAGTAGAGTCAAAAGTAAAGGAGAGAGGATCCCAGAAGTAGAGAGAATTTTTTTGGTCACTCATATTTCGATCCCAGGAACTTTTGAACGAGAGGTGGACACAGTACGGTACCTCTTTTCTTTAAAGTAAGAGTTTTACGCCACATGCAACACAATAAGGTCAGTAGTAGTAGAGATTTTACAGCGCTCGCAACTGCATAAGGTCATATGAGCGCCAGAAGATTAGACGTGTTACAAGAGAGTAACAAACATAAAAAAGAAGGAGGGGGAGATAAGGACGATAGATGTTTGATAGGAAAGAAGGAGCAAACCACACCAGAGCACCCGCCAACCACCCGCAATAAGGTCATGTTACTGCAGCAGATTAGAGGTGTTACAAGAGAGTAACAAACACAAAAAAGAAGGAGAGGAGATAAAGACGATAGATGTTTGATAGGAAAGAAGAAGCAAACCACACAGGAGCACCCGCCAACAGGAAAGAGACAGAACAACCAAGACGTCGATGAACAGACGATAACAGATTGCCCTGCATGCAGATGACAGGCCGTAAACAATGACAATGATGGACGGGAGGGAGACAGATTGGGTTAGAGCGCCATGAATGTCTACACAAACACATTGTTTGTTTTAGAAGAGGTTTTACGGCGCTCGCAACTGCATAACAAGGTCATATGAGCGCCAGAAGATTAGAGGTGTTACAAGAGAGTAACAAACATAAAAAAGAAGAAGGGGAGAAAAGGACAATAGATGTTTGATTGGAAAGAAGAAGCAAACCACACCAAAGCACCCGCCAACCACCCATTGAGACAGATTGGGTAAGACTAAGAGAGTCATGAATGTCTACACAAACCATTGGATAACAATAACACAGAATATGAACAAAGATTTTGAAAGACAAAGAAACTACCAACACTCAAGATCCCGTTTTCTTCTTCACTTTATTCACATAATATTCTTCTTTCCACCCCTTCAAAACTGTGAAGAAACAATATGAAAAAAACCAAAACAAACAAAAACAATTAAAAAAACCCACAATACTTGAAGAATGACTAATGTACATACATGTATCATAGGATGGCTTTGTACAGTCAGCTAAAGTAGAAACCAGACACGGGTTACGTGCAATACACTGGTACAAAACAAAATCAAAGTAAGCACAGAGAAAGATACACAAACACAAACAACATAATATGAAATAGGCAACTTGTTCATCTCCCATTCTGAATGAACTCAATAACATCCTTGAAAAATTAAAACTTTACAAGCGCAAATAAATAAAAAAGCTCTACATGATAAAAAGAAGCGATCATTTCAAGTTTCATACTGATTTATAGGTGCCAGGTCGTTACATATCCTTACATTTCATTACTTTATTTGTCCATTTCAACTATCCCCCCCC